CTTTTTGGACTGCACTACTCTAGGCTCCGCCAGAACTAAATCATAATCTGAAGAGCCCATCTCTAGTTTTAATCAAAACCCTGCCTTGGCTCAGTATTGGGTTCTTTTCGGAATGCGCCGTACCCATGTCGTGAAAAACTAGCAAAACTGCTACTGTGTAAGAAGAGATACCTAGACAGTAGTTGTAACAATCGCGCTATCTCTCTGACTGAGTAATCTTTAATCTCCACACACAGCTCGTCCTGAACAGAATTGGCAGAACACTCGATGATGGAGACCTGTGTGACCGAGTGGGTTCGAATAAGTTGTTCACTGCGATCGACCATACCCATACCCATGCTTCTGCTATCGGGACAGAAGCGAAAATTCATGCTCCGCACGATCACGTTATTTCTTCTCAATATATGTATAAGGATGCTTGGTGAGTTGTGTAACAAGTTCACGTCCAGGATCCTGTCTTTCTGCAAGGGCATCTTGGTGAAAGTGGCGAGTGAGTGGTGAAATCCATGACATTGCGATGCCCCTCGTCCAAAATTTCAGTGCCGATTTCATGGGCCATCTGGGATGGGAAGGCGTGGGATTGAGGAAATGAAGGTTGACGGCCGCTGCTCACTCATCTCCGTCTTGCATACGGCATGGTTATCTTCCGATCTCCACTTGTGCTTTGTTGTGGTACCTGTTTCAATGCCGTCATTGGGCAATGCTTGTATGCAAGTGTTTGCTCTCGTAAAAGGTCTCGCTAGTTCCGTAGCTAGTTGATCTTCAAATGTCACTCCTCCTCACAACTAAAAAGCTTCATCAAACATTGCCCGAAACAGCTGCGCACCTTAGCTTGTACTCTTATTTTGTGAGCATGTGACTGGATTGTAATTGATGGCGAGCCAGCATAGCATAAAAATCCGCAACCAGATTAACGTGCTTGCTCACATCCTCCATCGCACCGTAGTTTCATTGTCGACTAGTTCTTCAGTTCTCATAACCTCACATAAAAGCCTACTCAATTTGAGTTGAAGCTCACCACATCTAGTACACTTCGCCGGACCTTTCAGAGAGCGTGAACAGGTTCGCCCTTGTAATCTGTTCATGTGTTCCTTTTCCTTTTTTTCTCTATGCTCCTAGCTTCTATGTCAGTGCCAGTTGGTGGTTCATACTTCACTGGTGCTGCGCTTTGAATATCGAGGAAGCAAAAGCCACTATGAGAACGGTGCACGCGCTGCAGTTAGGTCTTCTTCATTTCACTGCATCGGAATGTGCTGTGCAAATTTCACAACTTCCTAATTCAGAACAGCCCGGCAATAAGTTCTTGATAATATTATAATCTCGTTCTTCGAGTGGTATGAGATCGAAAAGATGACTGCGAAGTCGGATATCCCTTCTCATCTTCACTGTTCCCTCCATCCTCAAGTCGCATGTTTCCTCCTCTGATTTCCGAGTTGATGTCGTCCATCATTTGGACTTCTCGACTCGGACCCATTTAACCAAAATACTTTCATACCGTTGAGCAGTAGTTAGGTGAGCATAAGCTGACAATCAGGTCGTATGAAAACTGGGCAAGACTGAGCTCCCAATACACATAGCTGAGCTCCCAATACACGTAGCGCATTGAGTGAGTGCGCGGCGTTAGCCTACATCGGCAACTTGGAACTACATAAGCCACAGAACTTTTATTCACTGTTCTTCCCCAATTTTCCAAAACACTTCTGGTGAGTAATTGATTCTGATGATTTCGGCTTCATGATGCTGTTGACAACTGATGGCTTTTTCTGTCGAGGTGCAGTTTGACCAGCGTTCGATAGGCCTTCTGAGAGTGGAGGTTAATCATGTAATGGAAATTTCTCTGAAAGTCTGTAGGCGACCAGTAGTTATCCTCGGCTCACCTTGAGACCATTTTCTGCTTCTGTTCTTCGCCTATATCAATGACCCTTATCATGTACCACATCACCGCGGGGATAGTACACCACTACACGCGGTGGCCGATGCTAAGATACGTCTATTACCTATACCACCTATCACGCGCAACACGCGTAATAGGTCTTATAGGCAGCTTCTTTGCATCCCTTGGAAGAAGCAAAGGAACGACCGAGTTCAAACAAACTGATCCATTAGCACCAATTGCACCCCAGTCTTGCGCACTTCAAATATGCTTTCCCTTGGGAGTAGCCCTTGCTGATAGGACCATTTAATCTCGCAGGAAAATAAAGGCGTCACCAAATCCGGACCCTGGGATCCTTCTACATGGACTGCCTTTGCGTCTGCCTGTATGACTGCTACAGCGTCCGTTAGCTCCTGCTAAGTATCCAGCTGGTCAAATATGATGTTAAGAAACGAAGACGAAAGGAAGGGACCTAAAAAGTTCGAAAAAATGGCCAAAACCAGCTGCTCGATATCCGACCCAAGGCGGACGGCAGTGTGTTAGAGTTGGATTTTTGATTCTACAATCACCCACCTAGGAGACTCTCATAAAATCGTCAGTCGTGTGGCCGTTCTCCGTCAACAAAGGACCGGGTTCCAACTTCTATTATCAATGCGTATGCACCGGCCTCGGCAGAGTAAGTAAGAGAGTAGTGCTGCAAACATTCGGAGAAGAAGATTCAGGAGAGTTATGGAGAGTTATTCAGGAAAGTTACCACAAATATGTCGTTGGCGACTTCAATCCCGCCAAGAGCACGAACTGCAAAGGAAATTGGGGCTTGAAAATCATGGCTCTGACGACAGGAGCGCAATCGGATTACTTCTTTCGAATCTGCTTTTTCCATGGGAGTTCCATATTCAATAAGCAAGCTAAGCGACAGTGGATATGGGAACGGCCGAACGAATGGAACGGAACGGAAATAGATCATGTTCTCTCTGATAGTCGCTGGAGTCTACTCCATGTATACGTGTTGCCTTCCCTAGATACCGGATGGGCCATTGCTTTGTGCGCACAAAAATACGACTTAACAAGCGAGTATTCTAGCACGTCATGGTCAGCCCCGCAACTTTAGGGGGTCCTTACGAATTCGAGTTGTCCTTTGAGAGTTACAGCTGAAGTTGCTCTTGAGCGCGGAATGGTGCAGTTTTCTTCAACGTCTGAGTCGCTGAAGTGAAACTGTATGATTAAGATTTTTCATCGAAAGCACACGGTACGAGCTGAGCATTGTTTGAGCATTCGATGTGTGCGGTTTCCCCACATATTGAATATGTCCAAAACTTTGGTCCTTGCTACAGGAGTGAAAGCGTAATATTTTGTCGTTTGCTATATATGCACTTGACAAGAATTGTTGTTGTTGTTAGCAGCGATGTCTAGCCCCATTGCTGGTATCAGGACTGAGATTGCGGAGCCGATCGTTGTCTCTGCCACGATGGTAGAACCTTTTATACTGCACTGAGGTGTTCCGCAGATGGGTTGTCCGCGGCAAATCAGAGTTGACGAAATTCTCCGTCAATCCAACCCTTGATGTGAAGCTCATATTCAAAGATCACTTCCAAGGTTGAAAATAGTGCTGTAGTGTCAATTCCGGAGCTCTTGAGGGAAATGTTACCTGAGTACAGTTCTCCATGCCCATGCCCCTATGACTGTAATAGATGAGTTCAAGATGTTGAATATCATCAACGGTGAATAGTAAAGCAGAAAATTAATTTTTCAGTCAACGCTACACATGTATGTATCTGCAGAATGCTCGTGAACTCGTTGAGTTGCGATTGGAATTGGACTTGGTATCCACCCTTCGGCAAGTTAGAGGCAGCAGTGATCATCTTTGTTGTAGAGTTCCCTCGTTGTCATGTGCATTTCTGGAACGATTATTTTTGTATTACTACTATATATATTTCGCTGAATGTGTCTGTTGGCTTGCCGGTGTGTTTGTGTGTGTGTCGGTGTGTGTGTCTGACCGACAATTCAAAACTCCTGTCCCTGACCAAGAGCATTCAAATTTGGTAGGAGTACAAGGGACAGGATGGAAACACTTATGGTGGGTGGCAAGACCGGACTCGCTCACAGGGGCGAGGTGTGCGCGACAGAAATTTCGGGCAGGAATTGGTAGGGTTACACTTTTCGAATTATCAGTGGATCCTCAGTATTTCAATAAGTGGTGTAGGATATGGCGGGACCGTAGATACACGGTGACAGGAACTGATCGTAACTGACAGAGAAGTTATCTTTATCTTTTGCCTTGTATCTTAAGAACGCTTGAAACACGAGGTCTAGAATTTAAGCGAAAACCACCAATGGTAACTGTGCATCAGTAACATCAGTTATAAGCTTCTATTAAATGCCATCCCGCAAGTGGAGAAGATACTTTGAATCGATGCGATTTATGGCGTTGGGCCGAGCTCCAAGTTTGGGATAAGCATTTACAAAAGAGCAAATTCTATCGATATAGAAGAACAAGATAACTCAACTAGAGCGCAAAGGATGGCTCTTCTCCCGCAATCAAACCGCATTTGTGGTGCCCTATAGGAGAAAATATCCCCTCTTACAAAGCATCGAAGAATAATGTTCGATCCTATCGTTATAAGGAGCAATCGTTCCTACATGTGAAGTTGGAGGATAATGGATAAAGTGTTTGAGCTTGATTAATCCCGCGTGAGTCTTGCACCCCTCATTCGACTACCACTCACAATCGTAGTGGCGTAATGAATGTGTGTGTGTTTATACATAGTTGTACGAGTCAGTGCTTTATTTTACCGTCCATGACGAGTCTAGTACCAATTATCATCCTCGGAGGGATCGAAGGATTAGTCGGCATAAGAGGATATCGATCCGGGATTTGAACAAGTTACCATGCGTGCACGACGAGCGCCACTTGCCGGTACGCCATCTACGTCTGAAGCTACTTTAGAAAATGTACGATTCGATCCCGCTAACTCAAAAACCAACGAAGCTCTTCTCGATGAGGAAAGCGGACTTGTTCATGTTAGGTTAAAGTTCACTTTGTCAGCGCATTTCAACGTTTTCCCATGTTTTTTTTGCTCCATAACTTCCATGCAAATTTATTGAGAAGATCTGAATTGTACTGATCTCAGTTGGGGGTTTTGTAGACACAGGCCACATAAAGGAAGTCGTCGTTTGGCATCGTCTCAGTGTCGAAAAATCCATTACATCCGTAGGCTGTTCCTTCGGGAAGTTGACGAAGCTGAAACTATGCTATTTGTTGTGCTACTCATAAACAACATGGTCACATTGAGTGCCGTCTCGAGAAAGGAGCTCAGAGGTATAGAGGAAAGTTGAATCGTGCTGTTCTCACTTCATTGGGGCAGATAAATTCCATGTAGCTAGAATTTTTGGACATATACCCTCGGCTTTACAGCACATTATTTGACTTTGAATAATCAGTGCGAACTCAAGGAGCCAGCTTTTCCAATTCTGCTATATTCGGGAGTATGATTCACATCACCGATGAATTCAACTCACTTTATCTACATATTTTTTGAAAGGGTTCAACAGGGCCAAGCGCACTTTCTCCGCCAGCGGTCCCACGTACCTCTTCGTGAAGAGCCTAGGCTTTCGAAATGTTTTTTCAAGGCGAGGGAAAGTCCACAGACCAACAAAAACCAACTTATCGTTCCTGATCGCAAAAATACGCCGACATTCCATAACAATCGATATTGTGGCCTAACAGCTTCCACCATTGCCTTAGCTGCCAAGTCATCATCCCACTTCTGAATACCCTTCCAATAATATACNATTTCATAACGAACAACAACATCATAACACAAATCGGTCCATCACCGCAAGGACAACTACTATTAAACTCTTCCGGAAAACTAGAGTGCAGAATAGNCATAACAATCGATATTGTGGCCTAACAGCTTCCACCATTGCCTTAGCTGCCAAGTCATCATCCCACTTCTGAATACCCTTCCAATAATATACGGAATGAAGTTCCCTTTTCTTGCGTCGATCAGTGAATTATAGGATCGGACTTTACTGAGACTGTAAAATCGTTACAATGATTGTGGTGGTGGACGGAAGCAGAAACTAATACTCATGTTCAACCATTGCATTGGTCTCGCACCAAGTAACTACCATTAACTTACCCTCGCTGCTTCAGGCAAAAACTGTGGCTACTCTAGGGGAAAATTTACCCTATATAGCTAAACTTTTCGAAAAGACTAACCAGATGTGTGTTGTATTCCTTATTAATATCCTCGAACAAACTTTCCATACCTGAGCCTAAACGAGGAGGTTCAGAGCAGCTTATTCAGCAGAGGTATGCCGCAAAATGGTGCTACAAGACGGCTAAGTATGAATTTCGTGGTGAGCCGTCACTCACCATAAGCCTCATGAGTTGCTAGAGTGATGATTGGCACTGCAAAAGCGAGCAACATTTTGGTTGGAACGCCTATGTTGGAGCTTGTTTCCCGCGCCTATTTATATCCGATGATTTTGCAGGAGCTGTTGTTGTTTTATCATTGGGTGCATGTGCCGCTACCGGGGCTTTGTTCTAAATTCGATTCTCCAACTGAAGAGCTATGAACTACGTATGTGAGGAAAAATTCTGTAACATCCAATACTGGATAATGAGCACTGCAGCATCTCTGACTCTTCTTGTAGCATTGACGCTAATTCTTCATGCCTCCACCCCATTGTTCAGCCTACTTTGCTAGGCGGAGGAAAACTGATTTGTGCACTCCATGCTATCGTACGGGCAGTTTGGTTTTTCTCAAGTACAGGAAAACCACAAGGAAAATTTTATGCTACTAAACTGAAAAGCCATCATAGCATTCGGTGAAAGGTAGAGGAAGCTGAAATATGAAATAATAGCCGGAACCGTTCACCTTATCTCCACCACTCAATGCTGCTCCAATGTCGTAGAACTCTGAGGTGAGATGCCAATGTACGATAGAAAACAGTGAAGAAAAATAGATATCCGACCGTGTCACACAACTACTGCAAATAGCAGCCATTAGCCGACAGGACAAGAACCTTGGCTCCTGCTCAGAAGCACGGAAAATCAAGTCATGGAAACAATAGCCAGTCGGCTAGGGCAGTTCTTATATCAGCGGACAGGAGACAGAAGACTCCACGAGAGATCACGAGTTTTTCTTGAAACCCTCCCACGAATGCTATAATACGGGAAGCTGCAAAGGTACTACTTCATCGCTCGAACCAAAGATGAAACCAGATGACTTCAGCACCGTTTCTTAATCAAATCCACGAAACATTTACTGTGTACCAAGCTGTGATGCTTGTGGTGCAGTTGGTGCTTCCACTGCCCCACAACAAGACATGCCTCTTCTACAGATACCAATCAGATCGCCCAGCTGAGGCCGGGCTCTCCTCCTTCTTTTGTTAGGACTCCGTTATAGAAAACAATGCTATTGATTTTTAGCGAAACACACACATCCACACACTTCGTGCGCGCCCTGCACGCCATGAGTGAAGCCCTGATCAAATTCTCTGGGTTCCAGTAGCACGGGTCATTCTCTCTTATCCCAACTTGACTGTGTGCTTTCACTCAAACTGCGTTCATGCTATGCATAGTCCGCCCCTTACATCCGCCCTACGCCTCTGCGAGCTAGACCCGATACATTCACTTTCTACTATCTACCATAGGTGTCTTAAATGTGCCGCCTACACTCGTTCCCAGTTTTACTGCTCAGATCTAGATCTGAAATTATGGCGTAAACCCGCCTCCTGTGGGTGGAGTCAAGTCCTGCCACCTACCATCAGTGTTTCCAAGCTGCCACCTTTATTCCAGCAAGCTTGAGCCTCCAGGTCTCAGGAAACAGAAGTTGTGAATTTTCCGCTCAAATATCTTTTCGCGCAAACATCTTCCCCGTGGACAGTGTTCGAATAACCCACCGTAAGTGTTCCCATCCAGCCGCCTGCACTCTTACCAAAATTGGAGGCGTCAGGTCCACGGGAACAGTGATTATAAATTTCCGGTCAGGCGCACACCCTTACACACTCACACACACACACACAAACACGCAGATACTAGGGCAAGGGTGACTACGTCACCTTAAATATACAGAATCTTCTCATGCCTGACCGAGCATTCAGGCAGAAGGAATCATGACCGTAAGATCTGAGGGGTTTGCTCCCTTTCCACAATCCAGTCTTGAGCCTTGAGTGCCCTTCACAGGGATCAAGCTCCAATTAACTCTGTCAATTACACAAGCTTTCCAATTCTTTTAGTCATTTCATAACGAACAACAACATCATAACACAAATCGGTTCATCACCGCAAGGACAACTATTAAACTCTTCCGGAAAACTAGAGTGCAGAATAGAAGACACGCAAAATCATTAGGAAGTTCTCTCTTCTCCAGGATTACTTGTCCTTGCAACCCCACGAAATATAATACATTGCCATGTGTTCATGCTCGAATGGAACCGCATCTCAATTGAACCAATTTTTGAAGGAAGAATAGACATAAACAACTTTCTTCAATTACAGCCAGCGTGGCAAAAACCATTGAAGGTTCTACCATCGTGGCAGAGACAACGATCGGCTCCGCAATCTCAGTCCTAATACCAGCAATGAGGCTAGAAATTGCCTCTAACAACAACAACAATTCTTGTCAAGTGCATATATAGCAAACGACTGGATGTGACGGTTTCACTCCTGCATCGAGGACCAAAGACACTGACATCTTCAATAAGTCACTTAGTATATACATATACATATATACATATATATATATATATATA